CCCGTTGGTATAGACTCCAGACCTCACTCTTCAGACCTTCGCGCGAGACAAATGTCAACCTCTTATCCATTTTGTTCACCAAATCTATGATAACACTCTTGTTGTCAATCGGATCCATATCTGGCGTCTTGTCGTCACTCATGAGTTCCATTGAGTTGTCCATCAGTTCAGTCCTATAATCAGTGATTCAATGATTGATACAAACAATCAAATCATAAATTAATTGTTTTATGAATTGTTTTGCTTTCAGACAACACAACAAACATTGAAAACATTCAAAATAGGCGTCACTTATGCCATACGTCACCACTCACTCACTCACTCTCTCTCTCTCTCTCTCTCTCTCTCTCTCTCTCTCGACTTAAGTTTGTCATTAAATTCATTTGAGTTTAATTATACTGTATTTATACTTGATTCTTTTAAGTTATAGTAAATTTACATTTTATCAATCACAGTTTAGTGGATTCTTAGGTAAATGAGATGTCACTTGATTAGTAAGAATATCTAGATTCTAGATAATGTTTGACCACTAATGAGACAAATTGTCAAGTTTACAGTAATATGAGGACTAATATTTGTTAATTCAAATACCTTTATAATATTTAAATTAATTTTACAAATTTAAGGTTTGTTTAAAGTTATACAATATGGGTATTAAATGAAATACAATTTGTTATTTAAAGAGACATTTCGATGACTTTGAAGAATAAGAGAATACAGTAAGAGATGATCTGAAAATTAGATATAATTAGATGATTAGTATAATATTATTTATTTAAAATACAATTCAAAGTATACCTCATATCCGCGAAATGAGTTAATTATGAATAGTTTCCAGCAGTGAAAGCCAATCCTGTGAAATGCAATTCTCTCGATGAGACCCAATAACTATAGACATAACAAACATTTAAGTGATTCATTAAACACTTAATTATATTGTTTGACAAAACCTTAAATCTTTTGCAGACATCCTCTGCACTCCATTGAGCCATAAGACTATTGAGGTATTTGTATGACTTGTTGACCTCCAGATAGACTGTGGCACATGTATTGACCACCAGTAAGAGCATGAATACGAAGAATAAGTCGAAATACAAACAGAATATTCTTATAATTACAGACATTTCGCCAAATATGATGAAGAAGGACAAAGTGCTCAGAATAGTAGCGCAAGTCATCCAAACAAATGACAAGAATTGAGACCAATATTGACTGTCGTATTCACTAATCTCATTATAGATCTGATTTAAATCCTCGAAAATCTTGTTAAAACTAATCATTCGTCTCCTATNNNNATCTTATGACTCGTCAGTCCCATTGTCTTAGGAGTTATGGTACCGCTTATCATATGAAATACTTTCAAATAAGTTGGCATTATTTGCATCTTATAGTTGTAAAAATTCAAGAGACGAGAGTTTATACTCAACAGTATCGAGAAAATAACTGTCAGAGCGAAGTGGGCCCGAGTGCCGAAGACATAACCAAAATCGCCAATAAGTCGATAGAACTGGAGGTGTCTTTCGGGTAAAAGCAATACAAATATGGACCTGGTCACGTAATAGACTTCCAATATGAAAATAAACAACGGATAGCGATATTTACTTCTTGTGATGCCTTCTACTTTAAAGAGTGATAAACCAATTTTGTATAAATGACTTCCCGCCGATCCGATACTCATATCTGACCCCAAATTCATCGTTGGATCAAACTTTGGACTCATTTCTGATCGCATTTTCTTATACTATATTTAATAACAAAAATTTATCACTTGTTTAGTTCCGAAGCAGACAATAAAGTAAAACCAATGAAAACTTATTTGAATTTGAATTATTTTGTGCTTTATTTAATTTTTTATTAAGAATTCTGTTTTAATGAAAACCAAATTTCAATATAGTCCTCATTAAACATATTGAAATTCTATGTAAGCACATGAATAATTAAAATGTCCTATGAATTAATTGTACTTATTAAGTACAGAATTTAATAGTTAATATGCATTATACATAATTAAGTCATTGTTGATTTGGTGAATCATTAATTTCAATACTTTTAATCTTCAATAATTATTTGTTAACAGTTTTAAGTTTTTATAATAGATTCTAGTTGTCTCATGTACAGTATTCTAGCTTACTTTCTATAATAAAACTTCAGTTTTCGCCAAGTTTTCATTTTAAAGATAAATTATATTTACTGTATATATTATAAATCTTGTTTTAAATACAAATAAAAAATTATTACGCTTTATTAGTTTAATATTATAATCTTATGAATATTTTTCGGTTTTTGAAGATCTAAAAAATATTATTCAATAAATTAGACTAATTAATGACAAAAATTCAAATTAGTCATATGAACTCAAACAGTATTACAGTTATAAATACAATATTTATTTTAGTCAATGAAACTATGAACAGAAATATTGCAACTTAATAAATAGCATAATAATAATATAAATCATTTAAAGAAAATGGCAAACTTGTTTTAACTCCATAATATGATTAATTCACTGTTGTTTATTACACAATAGACTAGTCAACATTTGTTTGTTCTTACGGTATATTCTGTAAAAATTTCATAAATTAATTTTCATAAATTAAAATGTTTATAGAGAATATTTAATTTATTTGATAAATAAATGGATAAAATGAATTTTAAAATAAACAAACAATTATATTGTAATAAATTTTATTGATTATATAATAATTATCACAAAATACACTAGAATGTAAAGTGAGGTTCATAAAGAATATACCAGATGCTTATTATATTCTGTAAAGAATATGAATACTGTAACATAGAATCTGGAATTTTTGAAACTAACATTACTTGATTATAGTTTAAGAAAAACATAAATAAAATATTTGGTAATTAATATAATTGATTTTTATTATAATTATTTATTAATGACTTGTTGTGAACTTTTTGCATATGAAATCTCATGGCTTGTCGCGATGTAAACCTTCGATCGCATCCCATTTGCTGACAACTGAATGGTCGCTCACCTGACCATTGAGTCGATTAATAGAAATAATATTAAAATCACTAACAATTGAATGACTAGTTGACTGACCGGTATGTTTAAGTGTATGAGCTTTGAGATGATGTCTTTGTCTGAAACTCAAGTCACAAGAGGGCCAATTGCACCTGACACAATCATTTAACATTACACTACATTACTGTAATATCAAACAAACAATTATCTCACGTAAACGGCTTTTGTCCGGAATGTCTCAATTTATGTGATTTCAATCCTTGTTCATAATTAGTCCTAAAATCACAGCCTTTATATTTAACAATAAAACCATATCATCATGTGATATATAAATTCATAAAATTATAGACAGAACTTGCATACCAGGCCAGTCACACTTAAGTGCCTTCTCGGGACCATGAATACGCTTATGACGTAATAATAGGGCTAAACATTTAATAAATGAATGCAAATTTATATAGTAAACACCGCATATAATCACATAGTATTATCGGTATGAATAAATATATGTATTAGTTTATTTACGATATAGTAAACAAAATGTAAACCTCTATATGTGGTCTCATATGTGCACTGATCACATTTGTGTGGCTTATCATTGGTATGGTATTTGATTGTATGTACTTTTAGTTGACACTTCTTAGAGAATTGTTCCTCACATCCGGGCTATGAATAAGAAATGAATAAATAATATACGGTATACTGGACTGCATTTGAAGCAATCAATACCAACCCAATCGCACACAAAGATTTTCAGCTCTAAATGAACGCTATCTTTGTGTTCCTTCAGGTTCTCACTGAACCTAAACTTCTTTTCACAACCTTTAGGATAATTTCATTGAAATCCATTTCATTAGTAAATAATATACAAAATTACTACAAAAAACAAATACAATATGATATACCGGGCCATTCGCATACATATCTCCATTGCTTGATATATTTGTTTTTAATTGAGTTTATAACTCGATGTGTATTTTGTGACTTTGTTTTGAGGGAATGCCTAAACCTATCAATTCGTGAATCATTCAAATTTTGTCTGCCATTCAAATCGAGTCCTTCAAGTGACTGCCATTCATCAGACAAACAGTTATTCTCATGGTTTTGGTCACAAATTTTAAAATTGGATAAAAATTTGTTGTAATTATGTATTAAGACATTCACTTCCTTTCGCTGATCACAACTGAATTTATTAACACACAAACAGTTGTCAATCATTTGCAGACACTTTTGGACAATGAGTTTG